GATGTAGAACAATTTTCTCTCTCCTTTGAGAATTTAGGCAAACAAATATATTTTCATAGATTAAAACAAATTGGGGAATAATTTTAACTCACATTCAAAAGGTTAAATGCGATGGTTTCAGGAGTTCAGAGACTTGAGCTGAGAACCTGTATCTCGATGATCCACGCATCTATGGAACACCTGAGTATGCCACCAAATTTTCTTGATTCCGAAGAACTTTGAACACAAATTATTAGGCGAAGCACAGGTTTACTGTAGAGATTGATGAGGGAAGGGTTAATTTTTGTTGTACCAAGAGCTATACTATAGTATCAATTGAAGATTAACGCCATGAATCTTTCGTTTTACTTTTTCATTGTGAAGATATTTATCTTCCTTAATATATCACCACCATGGCTTGAATCAGCACTGTGATTACTATGACATTCGATCTTCCACTGCTCTAAGATCAAGAAAACAACGTAGGCAGATTTGGCGTGGATCAAAGCAGCCAAAGACCAAAAACCAGCTTGGACCAGCGTCAGCATTAATCAACGCAGAGTTAGTCCCATGGTTAAAACATTGTTCTAAGACCCACAGGACTGGATCACTAAATGTGGTTACAACACCGGCAACAGGCGAGGTTATAATAATATCACTCATGCTTTAAATAAATACAAAACATTGTTCTCAAGTACAGCTCACACCTTATGAAAGGCTTTATCAATGTAAACTGTCTGTGCTCTTAGATTGTTCTATTATTATTTTTAGAAAAATGTTCAGTGAAAATATGATGCCATTATTGACCTTGGATCTCTGGTTAGGACTTAGACAGAAATGAATATACAATAGAAATCAGTGATGGTGGTGGTGGAATGGTAATGATGATGATGATGATAATAATAATAACAAAACCTATAGAGAAAACAATATCACAAGAAGAATTATGAGAATTCTAGAAAAAAGATATGAAGAAATTAACAGAATTATGAAGCGGATGCAGAATGGATAAAAGAGAAAAAAAGAACCAGGAATGGAGCAACATAGACATTTGAGGAAATGAAAGGAAAAAGTCAAGTCACCAGGGAAAGGTAAAATACCTAATTTCTAGTGAAATGTATTTACATCTAAACAAACCATAATCAAATTTGTTCTTTGATGCTATCAACAATCTGAAACAAAATCTAGAATAGCTGACCGAAGGTATTACATATTTGATTCCTAAAACTGATGACACAGCTAGCCGCCAAATTTACAGATCTGTTACTTGCTTATCCCCAATCTACAAAGTAATAACATCAATTATTAACTGAAGAATATATCTATTTCTTGGTAGTAAAAACTTTCTTCCCTGAAGACCAAAAAAAATGCAAGAAAGGATCAACTATATATTACTGGAAAACTGCCATTCAAAGAAAAAGAGAAATCTAGGCATTGCTTAGATCGACAATAAAGAAATATTTTTCATCGTGTTCCACATGAATGGATTACAAAGACACTAGAATTAATGAAAATGTCTCCTTTTCTCATGAATTCTTTCAAATCCAATATGAAAAAGTGGAAAACAATTTCAATCGTAAAGCTACTGTAATTGTGAAATAAAATGTAAAAACAGCCAGATCTAGAAAGAAATATTTCACAGAATTTTCCAGTCGCCTCTATTGTTGTGCATTGGATCAAATGAAATAAAATAATCTAACTGATCAATTCAGAAACCACTTATTTACATGGACGGCATAACTCATTTTTTGAAAAGTAATAATTACTTAGTTTTGTTAATAACAATAAAAAAAATCAATGATCGTATCCTAATGAAATTTGGTTAAAAAATGAGCTCAGGCAAAGTTCGAAAATGGCAAACTGGGAGAAAGAAAAGGGTAATGTTTAATTTTCATCTCTGAAAAAAAAAGGTGTGTCAAAAGGAGGTTATTTTCCTTGACATTGCAACCTTCACTGCTTGGCAATGTTCATTGTTTTAAAAAAGCGATGATTAGGTTTTTAATAAAACCTAAACACATGAAAGTGAATTTATATCTTTTCTTTGTTCTTCAGAATTTACAACAAGAGAGCACTATTTATTTATTGGATTTTTTATTTACATGAATAATTTTATGTTTATAACATTCTAAAACTAATGTAGTATTTATCATTTAGCAATTTATAAAGAAATAAACATGGAAACAATTTTTATTGAAATGGTTTACCAAAACATCGGCTTATTTATTAAATATTTATAAATTTATGAATAAAAAATTGCTGTGAACTCTCAAAAATAAAGTAAATGTATAAATTCACTTTTATCATATGTTTAGGTTAAAAATCTAATCATAACTTTTTAATGCAATAAAATTTGCCGAGGAGTGAGTTAAATAATAGCGGTGTCAAAGGAAAAACCGTCCTTTTGACACAACATTATTTTGTGGGCACGAAGGTTAAACGTTGCCGAACAAAGGCTATAAAATTGACACCTTTTTAAGGTAAGTAACCTTTTCAGCTCCTTTATCTCGAATGTAGCATTTAAACAACCATTATTCTAATAACAGCAGCACTAGTAATGATTACATAGAATAAGGATACATACATTAAGAAATTCCCAAGAAATGCTTATCTGGAATATTCATGAGTACTGCTCGGATACTCAGAAAAAATTGTCTCAATGGAAACGGCACAATAATTTTAACCCACACCTTCCTTTACCTCAGATCCCAGGTGAAAGATTTTGCAAAGGATTGTACGAAACAGCAAAGAAGAAGAATGATGATGATGATGATGACAACACGGTAACAGAAAAATATTCAATCAGGAAAGAAGGCTGTAAATACATTTAGTAGATACTGCATAAAACGAAAACAGAACCCAAGAGCCAAATATTGAACAAGTATATGAAAAAGAAATCCAAGAATAAAGCTCATAGACAGATGAAACAACGCTGGCAAGAAAAAAATGGCCAATATCCAGAACGTGCTAATAAAGCCAATGCTGATAAAGTTAACACTTGTTGATGGTTACGAGTATCTGGATTAAAGACTGAAACAGAAGGCTTTGTCGTTGCAGTTCAAGACAAGAGTCTTTTCACTAGGAACTTTCAGGCAAATATTATACATAATAGCGTGGATCCAAAATGCAGTTTCTGTAACAAATATCTAGAAACCATAGACCCTCTAATCTCATTTCAAGATGATCTGAACTTGCGCCAAATGAATATAAAAATCGTTACGATAGAGTGGGGCGATATTTCTACTGGACAATTTGAAAAAACACTTTCATAAAAGTGTTAACACACAATGGTATGAACATCACTCAGCATCGGTTACAGAAATAAAAGACATCAAAATTCTATGGGATTACACCATCCTTACAAGCAGGAAGAGTTAAGCAAATGGGCTGAACATAATTGTCAAAAAGCGAAAAGAATAAAAAAAACTTGCCTACTAATTGATATGGCTTGTCCAGCCGACTGTATAAGTATAAAGAGCTCGAAATTGAAATAAAAAAATGTGGAAATTGAAAATAAGAATAATACTAGACATAGTAGGTGCGCTTGGATGATAAGAAAAAGAACACAACAACACATTGAAAAATCCCTGGAAATCCCAGCTTCAGAGAAGTACAAACAATTGTCTTGATAAGTCCAGCCCATACACTAAGAAGAACTTTCTTCATATAACGCTAGTGATGTTATGGAACGTGGAAAAACAAATAAAGCAATGTAGCCATAACAACACACCTGTACTTGCCTTAGATCTTGCTGCAGACACGGTAGATAGTGTGACCCTGGCAGAAATAATAATAATAATAGTAGTAGTAGTAGTCCAGAAACAGTTGACCATCTTGTATCGGGCTGCATCCCCTGAATATAAAACACAGCATGATAGAGTGGGCCAATATCTGCACTGGAAAATCTGCAACTTCTAAGGAAAAGAAGAAACTGAAAGAAATTGTTATGAACACTGCCCAGACCCGATTACGGAGATAGGACCTGTTACAATTCTATGGGATTACACAATACACACTGACAGAACAATCAAAGCTAATCGCCCAGACATCGTCATCAGAGACCAAAAAGATAAAAAATATGCCTTCTTATTGACACGTCAGTCCCTGCAGATTGTAATGTATTTTCGAAATTCTTTAAAAAAACTATCAAAATATATTGACCTTGAAATCGAAATCTTCAAAATGTGGCACATGAGTTCATCAACAATTAGATTTGTAGCCCTAGAACTGATTGGAAAAGGTTCCAACAAATTCATTGAGGGGATTCCTGGTAGCCCATCCCCCAAGAAATACAAAAAAATAGTTCTCACAAGTACATCCCACACCATATGAAGGGCTTTACCTATGTAAAATATGTATGATTTTTTTTCAAAACTGCTCAGTGGAAAATGTCATGATGCCATCTGACCTTAGATCTCTGGTTGGGAACCGGAAAGAAATGCGTATATGCCAGGAACCAAAGGGAAATAATAATAATAATAATAATAAGAAGAAGATGATGAAAAAAAAAAATAAAATAAAGAAGCACCCCCCCCAAAAAAAAAAATCATAAGTAAACGAAAACTGGAGAATTATTTGAACCTTGCCAGAGAACTGAAGTAATTGAATATTAAAGTGTTAAGAGTGCCAATTTTTATGGAAGCGCTTACAGCGATCCTGAAAAGCGAAGCACAAAGGCTGTATGAATTGGAAATCAAGAAAGAAACTAAAAACAGACACAATACTGAAGAGAGTGCCGGAGTATTAAAAAGATTACTGCCATTTAGTCTCAGGTATAATCACTCACCAGATACTGGTGTGAATGCTCAATGAATATAGTAAATATAATAAACTAAAAGTAAATAAATAATACTTGAATTCGCAGTTCTGTTGAAGACAGCAGCATGGTAGAAGGTTGTAGAGATTTCATCTCGCTTCTTGGTCATTTGTAAAAGTTGCCATTTACTGAATAAACGGAAAATGAGATCGATGGAAACAAACAACTTAAGTTCTCTTGAAAGCTCGTTAAGTTCATAAGACCGAACAGGGAAGGATAGATTGAAACAAATATCATTAAGATCGAATAGATGAACATTGTTCGATGAAAGGCAATAAAGGGAAAGGAACGAACAGATCAAACGGCCAGCATGGAACTGGCATAACATGAAACGTTGGCTGGCACGAAGAACTGATAAGGAGCAAGAATGTCTTTGAGATTTTGTATTACTTGACCCTTCTAGAAAATCTTTCAATCACCAGGTTGTGAATGTAAATAAACAATTATGAAACGAAAGATTCATATGAAATGGAAGATCTATTCTAACCAAATAACTAAATATCAGACTTTTTCTTTTGGTCTGGGTAGAATTTCTTGTACATTATTTCCCGGATATTTTATGTTAATTCATCCCAAATAATGGAAAGTTACATATCACAAATATTAACTGAAACCAAGAAATGATAAATTTTAATTTTTTTTTTTTATTATTAAATTTTTAGCATTCTTTTGAAATTATAAATTTGAATCAAAGTTTGGTTTTTATTAAATTTTTAGCACATTTTTGAAATTATAAATACTAATGAAAGTTTGTTTTTTTTTATTAAATTTGTAGCACTCTTTTGAAGTTTTAAATTAAAATTTGTTCAGCTTGCCTCGCAACATCTCCAACCCTTAAAATGAAAAAAATCACCAAAACTAAACATTTTGTAAGCGTGGATGATATTTGAGGTACTTACAAAGAATTTTTTACAATTAAAAAAAAAAAGAAAAAAATGATTTGGATTGTTTATCGGGGTGAGCGTGAACGTAGACCCACACTTAGAAATAGCGCAGCCGAGTCGCCCACATTTGGGGCGATCGCAAAAGTCAACCCAACCGGAGTGCGATGGAAGGGCCTCGCTCTGGGGGAATTTCTTGTAAATTTTTGTAAATTTACATTTTTTATTTTGGGGTGAATTAACAAAAAATATCCCCTTTCGGTAGTGATAGACAGTAAGTTTATGTAACACCAGTATCCAGCAGAAAACAAAGCTTCAGAAATATTCACATTTAAATTAATTTGGAGTCTCATTGTTAGTATTAAGATATGCGGCGTTTACCGTCACCAACTAAGATCAAAGAGAATAAGAGAGAGAGAGAGAGAGAGAGTATATACTGTAACTCTCTAGAAATTTCCTATTACCGTAGATCGTGTAACGCGCGATCTCGCGTATCGTGTGACCCCCAAATTTTCACTTATAAAAAATGATTTATTACTCATGTATCTCGTGTATCATGCGAGTTCCTTTTTTGAAAGACCAAATTACAATAAAAAAAATTAACCTCTTTTCCTCTATCTCTTTATCCCATCTTCTCGTTAAATAAGTTAAAAAAGTAAAAGAGAATGATAAAAGTATCGTTAGTAACGCTACATTCGTAAACAACCGAACGAGAAAGAGCATGAACAGATTGCTCCTTGTTGAGGTAAAAATATAATTACCGTATATACATACGTGTATCAAAAAAGTAAAAGAGAATGATAAAAGTATTGTTAGTAACTCTATACTCGTTGTGTAAACGCGTACAGCCATAAACAACCGAACGGAAAACAGGTAAACATCTTATAAACGGTAAACTAAACAATGGAAAAGATGAATATTCGTTATGTTTATTTTATAATACGATACAAATATGCGAATAAATGCATTATTATTGGATACATTTAAGTAAAAAAAAATCAGTTTTATCACAATCATGTGTACAGTTTACTTTACAGCTGTACTTTTTGACTACTGTAAACTTTAATTAGATATATAATTTGGTTAACGGTGTAGCCAGGTCCAGCAGTACATAGGCTAATTTTATATCACGTGTATGATGCGACCCCTTAAAATTAGCTTCAGAATTAGGTCTCCAAAAATCGCATCATATATACGGTATATAAAGAAAGAAAAAAAAACACTAAGTTCACTTGAAAATATTAAAGGAAAATGGCGTATAATTAGATGATCAACAAAAAAGCTGGATGATATAGAAATTTTCATGAGAAATAAAATGTAGTCCTAACTGCTAACATTAAGTAAGATAACCTATTGTTGAAGCTATACATATTCTGTTTATGTAATTCTTAGAAATAGTTGTATAGATACAGATATTGTTTTTTTCTTAACCAGTAAATGCTTCCATGTTCACTGGAAGATATATTTTATGAATGGGTGTATAAATAAATTTGCATTTTGACGAATAGTTTGGGATTGAGGTTTAAGCTGAAGTTTTCACTGAATAATATTTGAACTATTTTCTTTTTGGTGTTGTTGTTTTTACTGAAATAAAAGAATTAACAAACAAGGAGATTATGGTGAAAAATAAGTACAGTGGAACCTCGACTTACGAAAAAATTGCCATACAAAAATTTGTCAGAAAATTCGTTTCCACTTACGAATTAATTTCGACTTACGAAATTAAGTGTGTTTACGAGTTGACTTTTTAATACAAACACACATAACAAAATTTTATTGTTTCTCACATAAGTACACAAAGAGAATTTATATTTTATTTCAGAACTTTATTAATCCAAGCAAAAAGACATTACTTTGCGTTATCATCAACTGCTTGTATTCTTGTCGTTAAATTAATTTTTATTTGTTGAAACTACGTTGTCTTTTCTAAGTGAATTTTCTTTCTTCAATGAAAATCGTATGATTATTCTAGACGACCAAATTAAGAGCGACCCTCTAAAGATATTTTGTTAATGTATTGAATCCTGACACTCCAAACTTTAACATTCAAAGAAAAACCGAGTAGAAGGATTCCTACAGATAACATGATTGCCTAAGCGTCTATCACTTACGGCACATAACTGACTGACTTCTCGCTATTGCATTTCAATCTAGATATTTGGTACTAAATGTACCGTAAATACTTTTTAATCTTATCTAAATATACTGTATTTTATATTTTCATGTTTTATATTATTGTATATTTTATATACTGTAGTATTATACAGAATTACATACTTTTCTAAACTGTATTTTTACACTGTACTACAGTTGAGTACACTATTTCCAAATGTATTGTATAGTTTTTTTTTTATTTTTCTGATTTATATACAGTGTACATGATTATATAATATATTTTATATACAGTACATCTGTACTACACTCTACTAATTATTTCCAGATGTATTTTATACTGTTTTTTTTTTTTTTCTGTTTTATATACAGTGTATAAAAGTAGGTAAAATGTGACAATGCTGAGTTTGTTTCGTTTAATATCTATATAATGTATTGTATTGTAAAGTGTGTTTTAGTCTAATATAAAAGGTATAATCATTGAATTTTAAATTGATACTAATACAGTACAGCAGAAAATGTAAAAGAAAATTATAAAGTTTAGAGTAAAATAAAATGTATAAATTTCAGGTACAGCACGGAAGCTACACAGTAAAAATAAACTACGCATCCAGTTCAGGTTGATTTGTACGACGGTACATTTCATCACTGTAATTTGTTCCTTTACATTTTTCCATATAGTTACTTCCCATGTACAATAAATTTTAAATTTTAGTGGTTAATTATTTGATAATTTTTGTAGCCCACGATGTCACCCAAGAAGCTGGTTGCTACTAAGAAGAGGGGCGAAATATCCGTGCAAATGAAGGAGGGGATCATTTAGAAGCACGGATAAAGGTACTACTCGTGTTTCTGACCTTGACAATTTATAAAAACGTTCAACAATTTCCCAAAGAACAAGATAGAAATAAAAAAAAAGTTTGATGTAGCTAAGAGAATTAGTATAATTACATCCAAAAGCCCTTAAAGATGTTGAGAAGCTGTTGTTGGTTTGGATGAATGGGAGGCATCTACGAGATGATTCTGTGTCTGAAGACATTATAATGTGCAAAGGCAAAGGCACTCTACGTGGATCTTATCAGAAAAATACCAGGAACGTCTTCTGAAGATGAAAATGCATTTAAGTCAAGCCAAGGATGGTTTGAAAATTTTAAAATGAGAACCGGCATCCCCACTGTAGTGAGACATAGAGAGGCTGCGAGCTCTGATAAAGCTGCCTTGTTTCAGAGGTGTTTTGAAGTGACTGAAAAAAAAACAAAAGTTTTTAAAAGAATTTTGGAAGGATTACTTCAATATTCCAAACTGCTTAAATCTCATTGATAAAGCCTGGGAAGGAGTCACAGTAATACATTTATTTACATTATTTGTATATAATCTTTAAAAAAAAAATACTTTAATTTTGTATACGATTTTTTTATATCAATATTTTGGGGGTTTGGAACGAATTTTAATTTCTGTTATTTTAGATGGGGAAAATTGTTTCGACATATGAAATTTCCAGTTACGAATCCACTCCTGGAAACGGATTAAATTCGTAGATCGAGGTTTCACTGTACAGTGTAACCCGGATATAAGAGAGTTGTCGGGACCGGAGAAGACGTCTCTTATACCCCGGGTTTCTCTTATATCCGGGTTTGGTCTATTTTTTTATATACATTAACACAGGCTCTAATTTGGGACCAGAGAAAATCTCTTATATCTGGGTTTCTCTTATATCCGGGTTTGGTCTATTTTATATACATTAACACAGGCTCTAATTTGGGACCAGAGAAAATCTCTCTTATATCTGGGTTTCTCTTATATCCGGGTTTGGTCTATTTTATATACATTAACACTGGCTCTAATTTGGGGCCAGAGAAAATCTCTCTTATATCTGGGTTTCTCTTATATCCGGGTTTGGTCTATTTTATATACATTAACACTGGCTCTAATTTGGGGCCAGAGAAAATCTCTCTTATATCTGGGTTTCTCTTATATCCGGGTCACACTGTATTTGGTTAGTGAAATAAATGGTTTTCTCATTATCAGGCTACAATTTTTTAATGGCTCACCCACATGCTGTGAGTGCTTCGCTGACGTCAGAAACATACACCTCTATCTGTTAGTCTGTCTCTCTTACACACACACGCACACACACACACACACACACACACACACATATATATATATGTTCCAGTCTTTCTGCTTGTTTTGTGTGGATGTTTGTAAGCGCTTCCACAAAAATTGGCAATCTCAACACTTTAATATTCAATAACTTCAGTTCTATGGGAATGGTTCAAATACTTCTCCAGTTTTCCTTAACTTTTAATTTTTCTTTGATCTTTTTTATTTGTAT